TTGGGACCCCGAAAGGCACCGCCCCGGCGGCGGCCGCACTCGTCTGCGAGCATCTTCGCGATGCGCGAGATTTGGTCGCGCGGGGGGATGACCAGCGAAATCATAGACGTCCCGTTGCCGCGCGCCAGCGTCAACGACTTGACGAGCTTCTTCACCTTGAAGACCTCGATGGCCAGCGCGTGCGCGTCCACCTCCTTCTCGCCCTCGCCCATGGTGGAGGCTGCGGGGCGGGAATGCCGGGTAAAGTCACTCAAAAATCGCCCTTCGCCGAAGTAGCGATGCGTGCGCACTTTCGAGCGGCGGGCCGCAGGAGCCCGCCGCCCGTCGGGCGCCCGAGAGGCCGCAAACGCTTCGACACCGAGGACAAGGACGATTGCTTTGTCGGTGCCGGCGGCGATCCCGCTGTTGTTTGCCACGGCGCTCAGGAGAGCATTTGGAAAAGCCTCCCGCCCAGAGTAAACTCGCGGGTGAGGGACCTCTATAGCGCCGAGGGCAACCAGCCGCAGCCCAGGGCGCCCTCGCCCGCGAAAGGCCTCCTGAAGAGCCGACGGCGATGCCTCGATGCTTGCGTGACCTCGCCCGCGGCCGCCGTCCGCACGCGCCAACATACGCAATCCAACTCGAAATCCAGTGAGATGCTACTCCGTGCCTCGTACCGCATCCACGTGCCGGGGCGCCTGCGCTCAGCGACGGAGGCGAGGTGCATACCTCTTCCCGCGATGGCATCCTCATCGGGTCAAATCATCTTCGTCGGGCTTTAAGCCAGAGGGGGGGTTCGCGCCCCACGAGCGGCGTGGGCAGCAATGGCCCGACGTCAGGGCGCCGACTGGTGACAGAGAGCAATCGCTTAAAATGGATTTGCTTCAAGCTTCAAAAGTCGTCACCGTCGGTTAGCATTCAATTTCAAAGTTGTTGCGCCGAGCCGTCTTCAGTTTCGAATCAGTGCGAGCCAGGAGCACACGACGGGCGTGCGGGCCCCGAAGCGCGTCGTATACCACCCAAAGCGCGTTGTAAACCACGCAAAGCCCTCGGATCCCGGCCTCTTTGACGCTCGTGCGGTCGTCGACGCCGCTCGCCGCTCCCGATGCGCCCGGTGCGCGCGGCGGCGCTGACCGCGGCGCCGGCGCCGCCGCTGGCCTGGGGCGACGTCCCGGCGCTGGAGGCGGTCTACGGCCTCTACGGACCTTTAAGGCGCCGCGAGGAGTGCGCCGTCGTCGCCGTCGCAGCGGCGGCCGCCGCCGCGGCCTGCCTCTCGGCGCGGCGGCACACCGTCAGGGCGCTGGCGCCGCGCCTCGCGGCGGTGCTGCTGCTGCTCCTGGCCGCGCGGCAGGCCGTCCGGGAGGTGCGGCACGCGCCGAGGCTGCGGCCCGCGGCCGACCTCGCCATCAAGGGTTCGCGCTTCGCTGACATCCGGGGCATCGGCGATGTCCACTACCTCGACGGCGCCGACGCCTTATCCGACGCGCTGCCGGATTTCTCCTACAAGCGCACTTCGCTCGTTCTACACGCGTCGCACGGCTTTGGCGCAAACAGCCTCACGCTCGCGCCGCTGCTTAGACGCCTCGCCCTGCGCACGCGCTGCGCCGCCGCTTTGGCGCACGACCACCCGGGCTTTGGTCTCACGGCGCGGCCCAAGGACCTGAAGCCGTACGAACTCAACGGCGATGTCGCGCTGCAGCTCGCGCGACAAAGCGGCGCCAACGTTGATTCGCCGCGCTACTGCTTCGTCGGCCACAGCATGGGCTGCCTCAGCGCTCTAGAAGCTGCCGTGAAGATGGCCGACAGTGCGCCGACGGCGTTGGTGCTCGTGGCGCCGGCGCTCTCGGCCGCGCCGTCGAAAGTCTCCGGCCGGTGGCCGGTGGCGCAGCGCCTCGCGGGTATCTTTTCGCGCGCGCCGCTGGCGTGGCCCGCGCGGCTCTTCCTCCGCAGACTCGTCGCCGCGCCGAATTTTTGGCCCAAGGGCCTAGGAGCGTGCTGGGCGCCGCCCCCGCGCGAAGACGCCGATTTGCTGCAGCAGTCCTGCCGCGCCTACGGCCTCGCCGGCGGCTGCGCCGGCTGGGACGCCGGCCTCGTCCGCTTCTGCGCCGCGCGGCTCCGGCAGGTCACCGCGCCGTCCGCCGACGTGGTCAAGCAGGCCGCGGCGCTCATCTCCGCGGGCAAGCTCACGGCCCTCGTCATCCAGGGCAAGCAGGACGCCATCGTGCCGGCGGCGGGCACGCGCAGACTCGTTGCCGCGCTGGGGGCCGTTGGCCTTATGGAGGTGGACGAGTGCGGCCACTGCCCACAGGAAGAGTATACCGACGCAGTCGTCCAGGCCATCGCCGGCTTCGTCGGAGACGACTCGTCCTGACGTGGTTACCCTTCCAAGACTCTGCCGACGCCAGCCACGCACTTTTCCTTTTAAAGACCAACGCTCGATTTTGAGGTTCGAGGTCCCTTTTCTGCCCCGAGGTCCCTTTTCTGGGCTCCTTTGGGGGGCCCGTCGGTGGGAATAGATGAGCCGAGTTCGCTTCGCGCCACGGCGAGGAACCGGAGCGCGGATGCCGACGTCGATGCTGGGTCTTGAATCCCGCGGACCGCGGCGTCCCCGGGGAAACGCTCCGCCAGAAGCTTTTGGCGTCGCGTCGCCTGCGCCGAGAGGACTCTCGAGCGAGGCGAGGCGTTGCAGCGCGCCAAAACCCGTGGACCAAACGCCGTGGACCGCTCGCCGGGGCACTGCCGCGTGGCGTCGACGACGGCCTCGGTCTGCCGCGCGCCGCAGGGCGCCGCACGCCCGTCAGCGACGCCCCAAAGGACGGCCTCGCGAGCTTGATGACGACGCTCGTCGACACTCGGGCCCGTTCGTATGCAGCGGTTCGGAAACGTGCACTTTTGTCGCGTCGGACACCCCGTCGATGCCACCGTCGGGGCCGAGCGTTTCCCAAGAAACGTCCATCCGCGCGCAGTCGCCGGCGAGACGCCGTCGTCATCGTACATCGCCCCGCTGCCCGCGGCGGCCGCGCCGTCGAGGAAGACGAAGTTAAAGGCCTTCTGCGTCTACAGCTTTGACGCGAGGCCAACCACTTCACGCGAGGCGTCTCAGCGAGATGCGCTCCTCGGCCCGAGCGACGTGGACGTGACCCTCGATGTGCACTCGACCCTCAGCGACGCGGACGAGGCCCTCGACGGACGGACCTCTTTGCCGGCCGAGGACGCGGAGCGCCGAGACGACGGCTCCCACACGCACGAAGAGCCCGCGCGCACGACGAGCGGCGTGTCCTCGAGCGCCGCCGCGACGCGCACGTCGATGCCGACGCTCGCTGCCGCGGCCGCGGCCGCGGGGAGACGCGGCCCGAGGTCCACTCGACCCAGGCCCACCCAGGCCCACCCAGGCGGTCTCGGCGGGGAGGCAGTCTGTTTCTTCGACATCGTCGCGGCCGGCGTGGGCCGACGAGGGCCCCTGCGCTGAGGTGCTGCGCGCCCATGCCCCAGCGCGCCAGCGTCATCGCGCGCCTGGCGCGCCGTGGCGCGCGGTGTCGGAGGACCCCGCGTCCGCCGTCCACGGCGTCGGCGACTGTGCGCCGCCGGCCGCCAAACGCCGACTCGCCCTGCTGCCTGTGACAGAAGACGTCCACGACGGCCGGTACGGAACTCGTCGGACATAAGACCGCGTATAGCAGCCTCTACGGGCATTTTGAGGGACCAGTCGACTCGGAAGAAGTCTACCCCCGCGACCTCCAAGGGCTTCGGCACGACGTCCAGTGCGTAGCCGCCTCGTTGGTGACGTCGAGGGCACCGTCGCGTTGCGCGACGCAGTCGAGGGGAGGTCGAGACCGGCTGCGGCACAAAAGGGTACTCGGCCTCGGACGGCCCCGCGACGTCGGTGTCGTGCCGCCGTGAAGAGGCCGGCGGGCTTCAGCGCGTGCGTCGCGCGCGGGTCGGGAAAGAAGCGCGGATCGAGTGTGGAGCCTGTTCAGCGGTCCTCGGTACGCCAGTTCTTATAGCGTGGAGACCGGTGAATCACCCATTTCTTGCGGCCACCCTCCCGGCGTTGGTCGAACGATGCCGCTGACGCCACTTTGTTCGCCGTCATGTCATGGTCTACGTTTGCGGACTGCATCCTTGGCCCCGATTAGATCTCGGATCCTTGACGCGGTCGCAGACAGAGACGTCGAGCGGCGGGTCGGACTGCGCAAACGCCTCTGCGACGACGAGGCGCCCCAGACGTTCCGGTCCAACTCGACGGGCGTGCAGTTGAGTGGGAACGTCGAGTCGGCGCCAGCGTCCAAAGGGTGCCGAGGTTGGACGCACTCTGAGATCGACGCCGAAGTCTTCAATCGTCCGAGGACGTGACGCGTCGCGCAGGTTCGTGCCGCGCGCGTACTCGAGGCGGAGGAGCGCCATCTATGGCCAGCACGGCGGCGTCGCGGTGCACCAAGGGCGCGACGTCAGCGCCGGTCGATCAACGGCTGCGCGCCACGGTCTTTGAAGACGCCCCAAGAGGCCTGTTCCAGGCGGATCAGCCCCGGCGTGCAAGGCGCCTAGGGTGGAGCGCGCGAGGCTGTCCCGAGCGACACGCGGTGGTGCGCGAGGCTGTTCCAAACGACGGCGTGGTTGCACTACCGAGTGTCGCTTGGGAACGGCGCAACGACGGTCGCACCGTGCCGTCGACGATGGGAGCAGCCTGCGGCACGTGAGCCCACGGCCGCGACGCGAGCGGGCCCAGGCCTCGGCGGCGAGCCACGCCGCCGCCGCGAGAAGCTGCGGGCGTGCCGAGAAGTTCTCAAGTGGCTGACCCTGGAAGCGCCCGTTTGTTCCAGTCTTGCGGGTACATTCCGGGTCTTCCCTGTGGCGTCGACGGCGGAGACCAAGGCATCAGCTCTGAAGCTCTCGAGACGAGGCCAGGTCACCTGCCGGTTGAGAACACCGACAAATCTATCGTTAGAGATCCGAAAAGGTTGATTCAAATCCTAACTAAAATTAAATTAAAATAAAAGTTGCCTTGCTGAACAAAAATATTATTCCGAATCCGGGACTCGAACCCGAGTCTCATGGGTGAAAGCCATATATGATAACCACCTACACTAATTCGGACCTTTACCTGAGTGCTTGACGCACACGGGAGTAACAGCTGAGAATATTGTGCCACCTTCGCGGATCGAACGCGAGACCTACAGATCTTCAGTCTGGCGCTCTCCCAGCTGAGCTAAGGCAGCTTCACCAATCGCTGCATGAATGGAGATGAAGATTTTTAATTGGAGGATTTGATGACGTCGAACGGTTGTACTCTGTATATAAATCCCTACATACGAAGACTTGAAAAACACAGACGAAGAACTTCGGAAGAAGGGACTTCGACACTGATGACAGAGGCATCGAGGTGCGACCACGCCGGTCCTCGCGGCGTATGAACCGAGCGGCCTGACGAGGCGCGTCCTGCGACTGGCGACAGCGTTGGTCAGACTACTGGACTGGCGACAGCGTTGGTCAGGCTGCTCTGCGGCACCAGACGGCCTCGACGC